GTTGTTCATAATCATTAATTTAAACTTGAAATCAGTTGAAATTTATGTATTTGTTATTTTCTTACTCGAATCAATGTTCACTTACCTTGAATTTGTGTTGCTGATTTTTGCTTATTTAAGACTTCAGTTTCAGTCTGATTCTGTTGTTGTTATAATTATTTTGCCTTCATAATTGCAGGCACTTGATACTTTCAACACAGCCGTTGTTTCTCCTATATACTATGTTATGTTTACGTCGCTGACCATTTTGGCTAGTGTGATCATGTTTAAGGTAATTTCCAGTCATTAATGGTATCAGAATGGCTCAAAAGTTTTAGTAGTTATTATGTTTAAAAGAACCTAGTTGATACTTTCTGCCATCGTGCACACAAATGTTATTGCAATTAATTTGTCTTCAACATGCAATGAGTTTGCTTAATCCTATATGTACTGTGCTTGCCTTCTTAAAGGAAAAAGAACTGTGTGTAGAAGTGCGGAATGTTTGGTCAGTCAAGATGTAGCCGACAATTCTAAGTTAAAATTCTCTTGTTTGGTTTCATATAGTAGCCCTGTTTGTGACTGCTATGATATGAAATCAAACTTCCTTTTGGTTCTGCGCTGGTTTAGATTGCTGCTGATCCCTTATCTGCCTTGTTCTCAATTTTGAAGCTAAAGATTTGAGTAGCATATTTGATAACTGCTTTCTAGTTTACTTTTTTTTTAAAAACTTGGATTGACCTTGGCATTACCTTATTGAAGTTTGATATTCTGATATCAGGACTGGGATAGGCAGACACCAACTCAGATTATAACAGAGATTTGCGGATTTGTGACAATCCTCTCAGGAACATTTCTTCTTCACAAAACCAAGGATATGGTTGATGGTATGCTGTCATGAACCTTGAATTGTGAATTCATACGCTTTGACCATTCATTCTCTAACATCTCCTTTTGGCTCATAAAGAAACATTTGTAAACTTTTAATAGAGATTATGTTCAATCAGGTCCGAGTTTGTCAACATCCATGTCTATGCGATCATTAAAGCATGAAGAAGAGGAGGTGGTAATTGAAGGCATCCCTCTTAAGCGGCAGGATTCACTGAGAAAACCTTGATTGAAGTTGTAGGCCATCACAGCTATTCCTACACGGCTCAAATAGCACCTGGGGAGGAACACCTCGATGATTGTATTTTATTAGCAGCTTATTCATTTTTTGGAGGAGGTGAGATGATTGTTCATGGCCTTGTTTCTTTCATTATCATTAACCCTTTGGCCGAAAATAACATCTTATCTTGAGCAGGGTCAGGGTCAGGGTCAGGGTCAGGGTCAGGGTCAGGGTCAGGGTGGTTAATACATAGTGTTATGGTTTGCTTTATTGTATCAACAATTGAGTGGAACACTAAGAAAAAGAATCAAATACATGCTTTGCTTATTTCTTTCGGTTGGAATGCTCTTTTTATTGAACTCCTCGATAGATAGAAATGTAGTTGAATCCATTTCTAACCGAACCAGAATGGGCTTTGATTCATTGTGGCTGTAACAAGAGTGATCTCTCTACTCCATTTTTTTATGAAAAAATAATAGATTCGTCACGTTATTAAAAATTAAGTTTTAAAAAAGTCGAAAGAAGATTATATATTAAATAACATTTAAAAAAAATAAAGGTAAAAAATATCATTTAATTTGTAAGGTCTATTTTGATCCCAGCCGAAGTGGATCGAGCTGCGATTCAGTTTCTTCATATTGCTAATTTACATTAACGTTTGCTTTTACAACATCTTTTCTGCGTTAACCTAATAACATCAGAGCAGCTGGCCATGGTTTTAGTTTGTCGCGCTGATGTAAATAATCCAAAACTGACGTATTATAGGTCAAACCCTAGTGAAATATTAAAAATGATGTAGATAACGTGTTTGAAGATTAACAGACAGGTTTAAATATTTTTGGTGAACTACAACAATACGTACTTTTTCTAACAAAACAATGAACATGTTCAGTTTGTCGGATTAATTTCATCGACACTTGCCCTAATCCAGTTTACTGTTCCCTTACTCAAAGCAAACTTGATTACTTTTATGTTTTAATTATTTAATTAATGTTTGCTGATAAGTGAACAGAACCAGAAAGTGGCCAAAACTTTGATTTCAATGAGGTCATGAATTTGTTTACATTCATATAAGCTAAAGTAAAACAAAAGCAGCTTTTTATGACACTTGCCATCTTCACCCTACGTTTTATAAATAATTTTTTACTTAAAGTGAAGTTATGAATAAAATACCCTACATAAAAAACAAGCTTTTAATTTAATATTGTTAATTGTTGCTATGCAAAGGCTGTTGACTTGTAAACAGGAGCCAAGTGTCCGACATTAACTTAACTTGTATACTAATTTCACTTGAAGAATATGATGTATAGTCCCCACGCTAGGATTAAGCAACATTGAAAAATTGATTAGTATGACCATTTAAATGGACACGTGTTGAATCTATGTCATATCTTCTAGGATTTTCTTCTCCATTAATCAAAACAAAGAATATTTTATATAGTATAAGCTCATAAAATAGGCCGCAAGCGTAGGTTATAATTAGGCTATGCCGACCAGCCACTGTAGATCTTGAGTAGTAGATACGTGACCAAGTATACTTTGGTTAATCATCTTACGACAATGATTCACCATTAAATTATATTTGTTAACCTCTCTACGCAGTTTAAACCTTACTTACGTGTGTATAATGATCCAAGTAAAACCTATAGATGTTTTTTGCCTCGTTTATTTCGGATAACTTATTAATTATAAATTTTCAATTCAATCAAACTAAAAAATTATTATTAATTAAGTAAATCTAATACTACCCCTCTAATTGAATTGATATTTTTACATAACATCTTTTTTATATATCACGATTAAATGATATTTAATTATTTTTTAATTATTGTTTATAAAAAAAACACATTCTCCTTTGAATTTATTTAAATGAAATGCTTGAGAAAATTTTAACATAAATTAAATTAAATTATTGGCCTTAATGAAAATAAAAGGACATATTTGATCGTTTCCTAAGAAATAATTGTTATGAATGAAGATACAATTAATAATACGAAGCAAATGAAAATAAAAATTGTTTTGGAAATTCATAAAAGATTTTTACAACATGGGACATGCTAAAAACTAAAGTATACAGTAGATGGTCACGGATATAGATGTATATGAGGGGAAGGTAGATAACGTGGCGAGAGCAATCCGAAAGCGGTTGAAGGTCGTCCACCAATCATATGCAGGTGGCAAATGGTTTGGGTTTTGGGGCAGTGAAATCTCATAGAATCCAAAACCACTCTCTCCTCTCGTTTCTACATCATACATAATATTAGCTTGTGTATACAAACCCAAACCTCAATCGCCCCTTATCTTTTTCGCTTCGCAAACTCTAATCGCATCTTCTTCCTAACATATTTATCCTCCAATCGTCTTTTCACACTTCATGTTTACAATAACATTTTCACGATATTTTACAAGGGAATATGGCAATCAAATTCATATTAACACACCAATCATTCCTGAATCATGATTTTCATTTTAGTATAATTACTAAAACAGTTATTATGTTAGTTGAATTATTATTAAATTGATTAAATGATATTTCTTAAATTTGTCTAGATCTATTATTATTGTTATTGTAACATCACAATTTTATTTTATAACAATTGAATCAACTTACTAATTATTCTATAATTTTTGGAAGTTCGATGATATGAAAATTATAATTTATAAACAATTGGTACAATTTACTCTTGATTTTCATTTTTGAAAAAAAATTATTCAGAGGAGAAAGGGAATTTCACTCATAATACATATTGTACTCACAATCCAATAAAAAGGAATATGTCACCTTAAAATTTTAACCACGTATTTTAAAGATTATCGACACCTTTAATTTTTTTATTTTTTGATGAAGGGAGGATGAATGGCTTGAATGGCGAAGTTAAGGAGCTAAGAGGGCCATAGCCCCATAAATTTGGTAAATTTAGTCTTTATAGAAATCTCTACATAAGTTGCATGAAATGAATTCATATATTTTGATAAAAAATAAATAAAGAAAAACTTAAATGATGATAACTAAAACTTCATTTTAGCTGGGATAATTTTTATACCATTGAAGTCTGAAACAAAAGTTAGATTGACATATATATATATATATATATTAGTTGTTGAGTGATGTCGATAATTTAGAGGAAGTATTATTTTTTAAAAAATCTTACTTTCAAACAGTCTGTAGATATATACACACTAAAATTATATATAAATATTATTTTTTTTTATTTTCTATGATTTAAAAAAAATAAAATATATAAATTTTCTTAATTTCACTTATACAAATGTGACCAAATAGGAAAAAGGAAATAAATATAGAAATTTCATTAAAAAAAAGTTTATCGTAGTTTCCATGTTACGGGCATACCCGGTTTACCCAATCGTAATGATTACGTCTCATCACTCCACGTGGCCAAATGCCACAACCTCGCATTACCTACCTCGATTCAACCTTTGTACAATATATACCCCTTGTATCTCACAATTCGCTAATTCTTTCCACAAATATCAAAAGCAACGCTCACATTTTTATATTTCAATCTTCTCTAAACACAGCTACAGTTTATTCTTCACATTGTTAATTCACCAGAAATTAGTAATGGGAAACGATAAAGGCGGAACCAAGGTAATGGAGCAAAGAAGCAGCCTCCATAGCCCCCGACCAAATCTGGGATCTCTCTTCAAACAGTCCGAGCCTTCTTTGTTTTCTTTTAACAACAACGTCGATTTTGGTGTCGACGAAGAGTTCCCTAATCGTAAAAGCAGTGCCTCGTTGGCCAGCCCGAGGTATTCCAACAGCACGACCTCGTTGGCCAAGACGGCACTTTGCCCTCATTCAAAGACGTCCTTAAAAGCTCCGTTAAACCTAAGAACTACATTGAAATTCGAAGAAACCGAAGTGTTCTCCGAATCAGACACTTTGACGCGGTCTCATGCAGTCATGCTTGAGCTTGAATGAAGAACTCGGGCTGTTATATTCAGGGTCTTGGGATAAAACTTTGAAAGTTTGGCGGCTGGCGAACTCGAAATACTTAGAATCCATTGATGCTCATGACGACGCTATCAATTCCGTGGTGGCCGGATTCGATAGCTTGGTGTTCACGGGATCGGCTGATGGGACAGTCAAGGTGTGGAAGAGAGAGTTACAAGGGAAAGGGACGAAACATTTCCTGGTTCAAGTGTTGTTGAAGCAAGAGAACGCGGTGACCTCATTGGCTGTGAACCAAGAATCGGGTGTTCTGTACTATGGTTCGTCGGACGGTCTTGTCAACTTCTGGGAACGTGAGAATCACCTTTCACATGGCGGGATCCTAAGGGGCCATAAAATGGCTGTTCTCTGCTTGGCCACGTCTGGGAATTTGGTGTTTAGCGGGTCAGCCGATTGGAGCTTATGCGTGTGGAGACGAGAAGAAGGTGGGGTTCACAAATGCCTCTCGGTCTTAACCGGTCACAACGGCCCCGTAAAATGCCTAGCCGTCGAAGAAGATGACCGAACGTCCACCAAGACCGACCGTAAGTGGATTGTTTACAGTGGGAGCCTCGATAAATCCGTCAAGGTCTGGCGCGTTTCTGAACACGCGCCATATATGAAGGAGAATAAGCAAGGTTACCTTACTGACCACCATACGGTTGACGATGTCATGGTAATGGGGAAGAGATGATGAGCTAGTTGCTAATGTCACGGACTAAACAATTGGGTCCATGGGCATTGGCGTAAAGGTTCACAGAAGGGGTTCAATTACGCAGACTTTGGGCTTGTTGGGCATGGTGAGTTGGCCTGGTTCTTGGAGAATGCTTGCGGGTCCGTAAAGGCTCGAGTTCGTGAAGGATCAAGTCCGAGGTGTCCGAGAGAAGCGACGAGGGTGTTACATGTTCGATGGGGGCAATTTTGTCAAGGCTCGTGGATTCGAACCGAGACATGTGTGAGCAAATTTCTGTAGAAGAATAATACAGAGTGTTGGGCTTGCCCAGAACCATCAGACCTGGCCCGTTCCTTGGAAGATTCCAGAAAGAATATTATTATCCAATAATTAAGGATTTAATTATGGATAATGTTTTATTTGAATTCAAATACCTTAGAGATAGAGTTCTGTTAAGGTAGGATTCAATGTAAGCCGTCGATGTACTTTGATCTAGACCGTTGGATCTTGAGGGCCTCAACTATAAATAGAGAGCTCCTCCCCTCATTTGTAATCATTCACTTCATTCATTCTCTTCAGAGTAATAAAACTCAGGCATTTACTCTTACTCTATCTGAGTTCTTTCTTTCTAGCTTTCCAGCTTGCAGCTTTCTAGCCTTGTCGGCTTGATCTCCTTTGTGCTTAAGCCTTTGTGGCTGGTGTTACCGATCGGGAGGGCTGAGATAGCCTCGGGAGTGTTCTTTCCGAGTTCTTTCAAAGTGCCAAAGTGATTCAAGTCTTGGTGACTTAGAAAGTTCCCACAACGCACGTGCTTCAGAGATCTGCTTCAACCCAGGTGGCTTGGATTAGCCCCGATTAAGTGTTATTTCCGCATTATTGTTTAACCCTTGAGGGTTTGTTCGTCGCTTAGTGAGCCAGAGACTCACAAGGATGTGGATAAGGCTGACTTAGGCGCCATTTCGACCTGGAAATCGTCTAAGTGCCGCACGAATCGTCTAGCAGAAGTCTAGCCCCGTGACAGGTGGTATCAGAGCGTTGCTGTAGCTGCAGCCCCGACACAAGTGGTGTCAGAACGAGTTGTCAGTGTAAGTAGTTTACCCGTCTGACTTAGTGGCAAGCAGTGACAGAGCGAGTCGTTACTGGCAAACAACGATCGTTTTGTACGTGGTTTGGGGAAGCAAGTCAAAGCAAGTCGGAGTGTAGGTGTTGTGGATTCAACAGTGATCCGAGCTTGTCTTGTGACAAGAAGCATTTTAGCGAGGTGATGGAAGCCGTTGTGGATTCAACGAGTGTTCCAGACAGGTTGTGGAAAGGAAACGAGATGGCACAACAAAAAGGAGTTGTTCCCATAGAGGATGGCGCGGAGAGCCGTGGTGTTGGGATTGAGCTAGAGAAACAAAGTGTGGGAGTTACCCCAGGATCATTGGAGGTGAGGATCAAGAACCTTGAGAGCTTCACGGAAGAAGCCAAGGAGGTCCAAGGAGTTATGGAGTCCCGTCTTGAACAGTTAGAATCCATGAGGGATGGGTTCAAGGATGTGGCGCAACAGAGTCTCCACAGTTGGACGTTGATAGAGATGAGTAATGCGCTCAGGGTCGAGTTGATGGCCTTGAGGGAAGAGATGGATGGGCTCAAGAGTGAGATACTCATGCGCAAAACAGTAATGAGTTATAGTGGTGCGTGCAATACCTTCATCGAAGGATTTAGACCAGGGGTGATGCTTGCCAGTGAGCAAGGTGATACCCAGAGTTATTCGGAAGCCGGAGCTGTAGCCGAGTCAAGGTGCGAGCTTGCAGGAGCCAAGCCAACCGAAGATGAGTCATCCAGACCCATGCCCAAAGATAGTGGTGAAAATGGGGGAGACCATGACAAGGGACAGTGGATAGATGGCAGAGAAAACTCTTCGAGTAGCCAAGAAGTGGCATCGACTGATCGTGGTCGGATAAAGCCATCGGGGAATCATGGCAAGGCCAAGTCCGTGTCAAAGAAGAAGGTGAGTAACAAGCCTCTTAAATGCTACTTCTGTGATGGTCCTCACTTGATAAGAGGATGCCCCGAGAAGAATCGCCTTGCTTCCATTGTCAAAGGAGAAGGCAAGTCAAAAGGGGAAGTAGCCGATGATGGTGCGACTGCGGGAGTCGAAGCAGTCAAACCAGGAGCGAGGCTCGGCGCGAATGCTAGTGGTGCAGGAAAGCCGAGGGTAAACAAGCGAGATCCACTGAAGTGCTTCATATGTCAAGGAGCACATAGGGCCAAGAGTTGCCCAAACAAAGCAAAGCTCGGTGCCAATGCGAGTGGCGAAGCAACTAAGCCGAGGATAAAGAAGCGAGATCCATTGAAGTGTTTCCGATGTGATGGAGAACACAAGGTGCGAGATTGTACCAATGAAGCAGGGCTCGGTGACAATGCGAGTGGCGAAACAACTAAGCCGAGGGTAAAGAAGCGAGAGCCATTGAAGTGTTTCCAATGCGGTGGACAACACAAGGTGCGAGATTGCACCACCGAAGTAAAGCTCGGTGTGAAAGCCAAGGGCCAAGCTGAAGAGCCGAGGGTAAATAAGCGAGAGCAACTGGAGTGTTTCCGGTGCAAAGGTCCACACATAGTGCGGGAATGCCCAAACCGAATCAAGCAGTCCAAGGGAAAGGACAAGGTCGAGAGTAGCGAGCCTGCCAAGCTTGGTTCAATGGTGTTTACTACTGCCAAGGTTAGTCAAAACCAAAAGCAGAACGGGTTGCCCAAACCCAATTTTGCCAAGGAGCTTTCCAAGGATACCGAGGAGGTAGCCGTTGCTGTTGAAGCTGGAGTTGGCAAAGGACCAAAAGAGTCCGAGACCTTTCAAGAGCAATCGAGCTCAGTGCATGCCGAGAGTGAGGCATGGTCTAAGTTGATGAATCTTAGACATGATGGGACGTTGAAGGAGTATGTGAGAGAGTTCGAGGAACTCATGCTCCAAGTCCCAGAGTTGACTGAAGAAGATGCATTCTTCACCTTCACAGATGGATTGAAGCCATGGGCAAAGGCGACGATGGAGAGAAGGGGAATCAAGGAGTTGTCTAAAGCCTTGATAGCCGCCGAGTCCATCATAGAACTTGGATTCAAGAAGACATCCAAGACAAAGTTGAAAGCCGAGGGTAATGGCGAAAATATTCGAGATGAGGGTCAGTCCAACAATGATGAGGAGCAAGGCTCTTCGAGTGAAGCTTGTTCGAGTGAAGTTTGTTCGAATGGTGAGCATTTGATCATTGATCGTTCAAGTGGTGAGCACATGTCAAGAAAAGACATGGATGATGTTGGCACAAGTAAAGCGAACAAGTGCCTTACACCGAGGGCAAGAAAGGAGCAGACGAAGGGTCACCGAAGTAAGGGGCCACAAGAGTTGCAAGTTTGCCGGGATAAAGCCGAGTGGTCCGAGAGGATGGAGAAGCCCAGGATCGAGTTACCCAAGGACATGGGTAAAGATAAGGTTAGCGAGGCTGCGAGACTTGGCTCAATGAACTTGAGTTCTGCCAAGGCAAGTAGAGGCCGAAAGCAGAATGAGTTGATGTGTGCAAACATCAACGTTGTCGAACCATCGGGAGTTGTCTTAGTAGACACGGGGGCAACTGATCCATTCATGTCAAAGAAGGATGCCGACAATCTTGGTTTAAAAGTTGAACCATCGAAGGGGGCAATCAAGACTGGCAATTCTGAAGAAGTTCTAATGGAGCGGAATGTTGTTTTAGGGACTACCATCGAAGAGACAACTGAGACGTGGTTGATGGAGTCTAAGCCTTTAAGAGACATGATGGGCAAGAACTTGCCACCCATGTAAGAGGGTGGAAGTCGCACCGGACTTCAAGGGAGGAAGTGCTGATGCGAGTAGAAACACCAGACTTCCGGATAGAAGTGTTGGTGTGTGGAGTGCCAGACTTCACGGAGTAAGAAGGGCTGACACGTAGAGTAAATGTGCTGGGGGAAATCGAGGAACATCTCAAATACATTCCAAGTGTTGAGTTTGATTCACCATCGTTGATGAGCATAGGTCGAGGACCTAACCATCTTTTTACAGAGTTATCAAAGGTTGGAAGGGACATCTGAGACTTTCAGAGTTCTTAGGGACAAGTGAGTGTTGCCGATGAATCTGAGTTGTCGTGTTGTATGTTGCCAGAGTATCCAATTCTTTACCGCTGGATAAAAAAAATATCCATGTTTGGGTGAATGCAAACGGGTAGGATGGATTTCCTACGTTCGAGATGAATGCCAAGGTGTGCTAGATGGTGATAAGACATGACGGTGTTAACCAAGGTGAGGAAGCCAAGGTGTTTGTTAAAGCGTCCAAGGTGATCAAGACCAAGTGTTCTCACCTAGCGACGAGGGCGTCGCTAGATCAAGTGGGGGAGATTGTCACGGACTAAACAATTGGGTCCATGGGCATTGGCGTAAAGGTTCACAGAAGGGGTTCAATTACGCAGACTTTGGGCTTGTTGGGCATGGTGAGTTGGCCTGGTTCTTGGAGAATGCTTGCGGGTCCGTAAAGGCTCGAGTTCGTGAAGGATCAAGTCCGAGGTGTCCGAGAGAAGCGACGAGGGTGTTACATGTTCGATGGGGGCAATTTTGTCAAGGCTCGTGGATTCGAACCGAGACATGTGTGAGCAAATTTCTGTAGAAGAATAATACAGAGTGTTGGGCTTGCCCAGAACCATCAGACCTGGCCCGTTCCTTGGAAGATTCCAGAAAGAATATTATTATCCAATAATTAAGGATTTAATTATGGATAATGTTTTATTTGAATTCAAATACCTTAGAGATAGAGTTCTGTTAAGGTAGGATTCAATGTAAGCCGTCGATGTACTTTGATCTAGACCGTTGGATCTTGAGGGCCTCAACTATAAATAGAGAGCTCCTCCCCTCATTTGTAATCATTCACTTCATTCATTCTCTTCAGAGTAATAAAACTCAGGCATTTACTCTTACTCTATCTGAGTTCTTTCTTTCTAGCTTTCCAGCTTGCAGCTTTCTAGCCTTGTCGGCTTGATCTCCTTTGTGCTTAAGCCTTTGTGGCTGGTGTTACCGATCGGGAGGGCTGAGATAGCCTCGGGAGTGTTCTTTCCGAGTTCTTTCAAAGTGCCAAAGTGATTCAAGTCTTGGTGACTTAGAAAGTTCCCACAACGCACGTGCTTCAGAGATCTGCTTCAACCCAGGTGGCTTGGATTAGCCCCGATTAAGTGTTATTTCCGCATTATTGTTTAACCCTTGAGGGTTTGTTCGTCGCTTAGTGAGCCAGAGACTCACAAGGATGTGGATAAGGCTGACTTAGGCGCCATTTCGACCTGGAAATCGTCTAAGTGCCGCACGAATCGTCTAGCAGAAGTCTAGCCCCGTGACACTAACGTTCTTTTTGGCCCTCAAAGGCAAACGTCAGACAAAGCGGAAGAAGATTCCCACGAGCAGACAAGGCTGCTACGGCAGCTTTGTCGTTTAGTGGTTCGGTCCTTTCGTGATTGGCTCGAGAGCCGAACCTTACCCTTGAAGGCAACTGAAGGTGGGTGTGGACGGTGCCACGTGTAAAGACGGAATCTTTCAACCAATGGAAGCCGAGTAAATGTGAAAAATGTTTTTTTTAAGCTCCAAACTTGTTGCATTGTTCAATTTGTTTATTAGATTGTCTTGTTGTTTGTGTTAAAAAACACATGGCTAGCCTCCAAGAAATGTCTTTAAGGGGAGTAGGAGGTTCCTCCCTGTTGACAAGTGAAAAACAATTGCAGTTTCTGAGGATTGTATAACTTGTAACTCAAGGCTCACAAATTTATTGAGCAATTTGACTTTTTACTTTGCTTTTGCAGTTTTAATGTGGGGTTCCATAGGTGTGAACAAACTTACTCTAATCTACCTCTATTTTATATACAATTTGCATCGGACGTCCTTAAATGTACGTGTCAACATAAACTATTCATCTTGATACTGTACAATTTCATACTATTCATTAATACTAATATAATATTTATTCGTTTATAATTTCATTTGACTATAATTTAAGGAAGTTTTATTTTATCTTATTTTTAGAAAGAAAAAAATCGAATCCTATCCAATTTAATTCGACCAAACATATGAAGTAATTCTTTCTAAATATATAAAAATTATTAAATTATTATATCTAAATTGGATAAATACTTCTTACTCTAAAATCGAATCTGATCCTATAAAATGGAATCGAATCTAAATCTACTGGGATAAGATCAAATACCCATCTCTCCATGCATGCAACCCCAATTATATCAGGCATTAGCAACTGAGACAGCCGGATGTGGGTCATCCATCACAATAAGACCAACAGTATGGGAAACCCTCCATATTGCTAACGACGCTGTAATTAATAATATTCTTTTGCCGCGACACATGCTGCTGTCTCTGCAAAAGAGATTCTCTATTGCTTTTATAAGACCAGCCGAAGGATGGTTATCCCTAACACCACTGAGAACACAATTAATCGAAACTAGGGAGTCATTTTATTTTTACCGCGATAGCGCCTCAAAATAACAGTAAAACTGTCTTTCGATATACCCGATACACCCACAATAGTGCCCAATAATATCCGTTATAACCGCAATCACGGTAAAAATAAAATGACCGAAAAAACGATCGCGACCACGATTTAAAACCCTGATTTCAACAATTAGGTCTCTACTCCATGCCAAGATAAGAATTCAAAACTTTATCAATTAAACACGTGTAAGAATTCTAGCAACAAATGAACATTCAAAGCAAAGCACTCGTTATTCATTAACATAACAACCAACCTTGTCTACATAAGACTAGAAAACTTTGTTATTTTACATTATATAGCACATGAAGGTCCATCAAATATAGTACAGTGGAACCTTCCTTGTACTTTCTTTCTCCGTCTCTTCAGCATCAACAAGGTACAAACCTGTCCATAAGCAGACATAGAGTAGTTTCCGACATACAGTCATCTTTAGCACCTTTTTCTTCAACGCGTCTTTCCTTGGCAGAGCGCTGCTCCTTTTTCGCCCTCGACGTCAATGTCCTTCTTGCTTGAACTTTCCCTTTGAGCTTTTCGATCTCATCCATCCACACCCCAACTATCGCAGACATTTCTTCCTTTCCTTTGAATGTGTTTGTTTATGTGCTTGTGTGATTTCTCTGTTTGAAGGGTTTTTTAGATATATATATACAAATAGAGAGAGAGAGAGAGAGAGAGAGAGAGAGAGAGAAGAAACCGTTGCAGTGTTCATTGCTGGTGTTAAGGCCGTCGGTTTTGACTAGTTGGAAGAAAAATATCCGTGTGTGATCGGCCACTAGAGACTGTTAAATTGGAAGCAATGGATATTCCCAAGGGCATGGTGGTATCTTTTGTTTTATGATTGAACCAATTGTTTTTGTTTCTCTCGAAAAGGTTTAATCTTCACGTGGTCTGGGAGCTAAGCAACAAAATAGTGCTCAACACCCGCGGTAATGAGCAATTGGCCTGATGGGAACCCAACATCAGGCCCTGGAGTCTAGTTTTCCCCTGGTTCCTGGAGGCTTCACTTTTACATTTCTACTTTATGAGCCGTCGCCAGGTTTAGGACAGGATTTATTTGGTTTTCTTAGACTAATATGGCTTTATATTAATGCGATAAACTCTTATTTGGCTGCAAATGCTTCATCTTGAATTGAAAATGCAACACTAACAGACAGGGTTTTTAATTTGGTAATCCCTGCTAATGTTTGGTCAAGTAGGTTCTGAGTTTATGAGAAAACAGCACTACTTCAGTCAGAACATATCAGCAAAGTGCAAAGATATGCACCGTTAAATGTTCCTGTTATTGTCAGAATCTCAATCTACCCGAGTCCTTTGGTCCTAATAAAAGTAAGATTTTCATATATCATACATTGGCAATTATAAAGCAGATATAAAGAACATTTTTTTTTCTTTTTCAAGGGCTGATGCATTCAACAAGCAAGGAAACAGAACCTCGCAGCAGGGCACCGGTTGAGCTAGAGATTTGACCCGCATAACTATGGTATCAAAAGTTCGAGCTACCTCAGTTGAGCTCTTCTCTTGTGACTGAACCGCTTGACTAGACTTGAACCGGTAGGGAGAAGGGTTTGACCCTTTTTTCGCAGCTTGTCAAGCTCATTAGTCCATATATCCACAAGCGCAGACATAGCAACAAAATAACAAAGAGTAAAGCAATTGACAGGGATTAGGAGTTTTTTTTTTCTGATATTGATGGTTAGTGTAATTAACGTTTTTGATATTTAGTTACGAGTGATTAAAATTTAAAATAACACAATTTTAAAAAAAATTCTTACTGATTCTGACGATTAGGTTGAGAGTGTCAGCCTTTCATTGAATCATCAACAATTTCCATGCATTAGGAACTAAGCAATACATAGCCTGTTTTCAAACGCCAGAGAAACGACCACATATCATACGTAAACTTGAGCTGCCATAAACATAAGGCCAACAAGAAAAAGGGGGGATCTGTATACTAAGAGAGCCTGTCGATAAAGGCAAAAGAATGCATCAAACCAAATGCAAGCTCCACTTCCCTCATCGTTGCAAGTACAAGTCATCATCCCACTCAAATGCTAAGGAAGTTGAAACTAGTTTGAAAGATAATTAACATCTTTAAATGTCACTGACATTGTCAGAACTCACAACCAACCAACCAACCAAGTCCTTTGTTTACAATAAAAAACCGTTGAATCTTATAAAAGTAAGGTTTTCACGCATCAAAATCATATATTTACACTGGGAAGGATATTTGAAATCCGAATACCCGATCGTATGTTACACTCTTATTTCTTTTTCCTTGGTGGGGTTTCTTTATCAAGAGCTGAAGCATTCAACAAGCATGGAAACAGAACCCTCGGAGCACAGCTCTGCAGGAGATTTGACTCTCATGATTCTGCTAACGAAAGCTCGAGCTAACTCAATGGAGCTCTTCTTTTGTAATTGAGCCGCTTGACCAGACTCAGCAGCAGCTGCAGTGCTTGAACCACCAGATAAAAGGGTTTGACCCTTTACTCGCTGCTTGGCAAGCTCATCAGTCCATAAATCAACAAGCGCAGACATACCTACACAAAAGCAGATAATGAAAGAGTAAAGTAATTGAAAGATATTTGGGGATATGGATTTACTTAGGGACATTGTGAATTATTCTTTGCCTGAGGATGCTGCCTTGTTCCTGACTAAGGAAGTTTCGAATGAGGAGATTAGACTTGCAATCTTCCAGCAGGGTGATGATAAAGCGCCGGGACCTGATGTATAGTCCCCTTGTTTTTTTTAATGCAGCTTGGGGGATTGTTGGGGCTGACTTCACTTTGGCTGTTCGACATTTTTTTGACCCTTCCTCCCTCCTGCATGCTTTTAGTGCTACAGTGATTGTTCTTGTTCCTAAAACTGTAAATGTGAGCAGTATGAAAGAATTTAGGCTAATTTCTTGTTGCAATGTGGTGTATCGAACTATCACGAGAATTTTGGTGAAAAGGTTGGGTGCTTTCTTTCCGGCTATGATTGCCCCTAATCAATCGGCTTTTGTTAAAGGAAGGAGCATTGTTGATAATACATTGCTAGCTCAGGAGTTGGTGAAGGGATATGTCCAGAAGTCGCAGTCCCCGCGCTGTGCTGTTAAAATAGACCTGCAAAAGGCTTTTGACAGCATTGACCGAAATTTTGTGCTAGCTGTTTTGAGGGCTATTAACCTGCTTGATAAGTTTGTTGAGTGAATTCGGATTTGTTTAACTTCTCCTCAGTTCTCGGTGGTTTTTAATGGCTCTTTGGTGGGCTTCTTTGAGGGTGCGAGACAGGGGATCCCCTCTCTCCATATCTTTTTGTACTGGTTTTAAACGTCCTCTCCAAGCTTCTGGAGTTGGCGGCGAAGAAGGACATTTTTCAGTTTCATCCAAAATGTAGGAAGGTTTCTTTGACTCACCTTTGCTTTGCGGATGACCTACTTATATTTTCAAAGGGTTCTGTTGATTCGATTCTTGGTATTCAATGTGTTTTGGAGCGATTTTATTTGTGGCCGGGCCATAATCTTAATGCGTCTAAATGTGAGATTTAAGCCTCGGGTGTCTCCAATGATGAGATGGGCAGAATTGAGGAGTGTTCGGGGTTCAAGAGAGGGCGGCTGCCGGTTAGATATCTCGGGGTGCCCCTTGTAACGTGAAAAACTCTCGGAGAAGGATTGTCATAGCCTGATTACGAGTATTAAGGGAAAGTTGGATCATTGGTCGAAGAGAAGGCTTAGCTATGCGGGTAGACTGGAGCTTATCCGTTTGGTGATGTTTAATATTTCTAACTTTTGGTGTAAATAGTTGCTCTTACCTAAAGTGGTGGTTGATTGTGTGAATCAACTTTGTATGCGCTTCTTTTGGAAAGGGGAGGATACGGCGGTGACCGATGCAAGAGTTGGGTGGACGCAAATTTGTTCAATTCGATCGAAGGGAGGTTTGGGTGTGAAGGACTTGGCGAGTTGAACAAAGCTTGCTTCTTCCAGTTGCTGTGGAAACTGCTTGCGATGGAGGGCTCGCTATGGGTTGCATGGGTCAATGCTTATGTTATAAACGGTGAGGATGTTTGGAGCTTTCAACCGAGAGGGATGATAACCTGGAGTTTAAGAAAAATCCTTTCCTTGCGAGGCAGCTGCTGTTTCGGGGGGTTAAGTGATTCTGATGCACTCCGAGTGCCGAAGATTTGGGAGAAAATTAGAACCAAAAAGCAGAAAGTTACATGGCATAGACTAGTTTGGTATCCATTACATGTTTCGAGGCATGCTATTAAAGTGTGGATGGCGCTCCTCGATAGGTTACCAACACGGGACAGGTTGTTACGAATGGGAATGAACGTTGCTCGTAATTGTCCCTTCTGCAGCAATATGATAGAAATTCTTGCTCATATTTTTTTCTGTTGCCCTTTCTCGGCTGGAATTTGGAGGACTATATTGGCCATGTGTGGTATTAATCGTTCGATGTTCGATTGGGAAGCGGAGGTTGCTTGGGCTTGTTCTCATGCGCAAGGAAAAACCATTACCGCCACCATTTAGACTTGCCTGGAATGCGTTCATTAATTTTGTTTGGATGGAGAGAAATAGGAGATACTTTAGAAATGTGAATGAATCTGCAGATTTTATTGTCCAGTCTATTAGGAAGGAAATGGGGAGGGAGACTTGACTCTCGGTTGTGTATAGTTTGGGGAATTGTTGGGTGAATATAGGCATTCTGGTACATAATAGTTTGATGGTGAATATCTTGTTTTTATGGGTACTCTTGAGGATGTAATATTCTTTGCTTTTAGATATAAAATATACATTATATATATATGTGGGGATGTGATGTGAAGGGGTTTGGAGTTGCTTTGGGGATATATATACACAAGGGAGTTGATGAGTGGTTTTCCAGGCCGTTGACCGCATAGCCCTCCTTACTTGACTTTTGTATCACAGTACCATGTGCTTTGAGATAGAGATATAAAGGATTGTCCTTTTGTTTTGTATTTACAAAGTCTTTTGAAAACCGCAGCATACATTGTTTTTAAACCATTGTCTACAGAGACAGCGATGGCTGTAGACGATGACTTCACCAAGGAGAATGCAGATACTATAATGACGTTTTCCGGTCTCGTCTCTATAAATATCTGATGCTTATATTCCTTTTCTTGTATATTCTGTACTATTGGCATTGAATTTTTAACAGGAAAGATGGCACAGCATAGAATAAATTCCATGTAATCAAATGCCCCATCAACATGGAGACAAGATGCCAATCATACAACTTATGGCACTCATGTTGAGCGTACAGTCATACAAATGTAAATATAATTTCTTTTACTATAAGCTAAGGAGCATATAGTATCACATAATTCGAAAGAATTTTGGATATATGTTGATCTTGAAAAACTGAGAATTTGTTCCCATACGTCATCTTTAATAATTGAAGAAAGAAGATATTATCCTCAAAATCATCTTCCCCAACTATGTCTCAAAACTCATGGCTATGGTTTTATTCCTTTTAGCATTACATCTCCCATTCCATCTACACGTATAGCTTACCACTTAGGATGGAAACATTCCTAGTTAAGTTTCTTCAATTCAACCATGTTACAACACTTCCTTTGCTAATGTTGCTCATGTCTTGAAATCATCTTTTAAAGATGCTAAGATTCTTATCTGCTCTTTGGATCCTTAGACACTGATGATGTTTCATATACTTCTGTGGGGCATGAACATATATGCCTTATTTCTGCACTTTACTATCTAAACATCAGGGTTTCCTATGTACAATCGCTGACCACCATTGGTTTATTGCCACCATTTTCAAGCATAATTCCTCATTTGGCTTCAGTTTCAAGCCATAAATTACATGACCCTAATTAGAAGCCTAACCATAGTTACCAGAGAATCTCAATTGAATTTAGCTCTCTTATCAGAACACAAACAAAAAATGCAAACTTTCAAACCATTATAAATCACTATCCAGATTGTTTCTTTAAAGGCCACACCAGAGGAAAAAAACATAGAGGAAAGGAAAAGGCAATGAAATACAATGAGATTTCCCATTTCAGCCACCCCCAGCACATACTAAAATTCGAGTACACCGAAATTCCATTCAAGTGTGACGGCTGCAAGGAAGTCGGCATAGGCTCACATTACCGATGTTCCTTCTGTGACTTCGATCTCCACATGCACTGTGCTATACCTTCTCTTTCGATCTACCACCCTTTCTACACCAAATGTTCCTTTCAGTTCTTTTACAGGCCGCCCGGTGACACCCCTCGTTACTGCAATGCCTGCGAAAAGGATATAACCGGTTTCGTTTACCATTGCAAATCATGTGGGTTTGATCTTCATCCGTGTTGTGCAAAGCTACCGATGGTGTTAGACGACGGAGAAGTGAAACTGTACCTGCATAGGAAAGTGAGAGCACCATGCCATAGATGCGGACGTAAAGGGAGGAGCTGGAGTTACAGGTCTGGTTGCAAAAAGTATAACTTGCATGTTGCATGTGTTAGGGAAATGTTGGTGGAGAATTGGCATGAATTATACTTTGGACATGGCAAGGGAAGTACTAGGAAACTGGAGACAAGAATCCCAAGCTTGGAAAATACACTTCAAACGCCTCATAAAAGGAGTAAAGGGAAGGTAAAGAAATGCTGTGAGATGGCTGGTTTGGCTCTGCAACTTGTGATATCGGCTGTGCTTGGGGATCCCACTGCTCTCATTGCTGGGGTTATTGGAAGTTTGATGTCAAGAGCTTGAACTGTTTGTGTTCTTGCATGATCAGTTTAATTCAACGTAGGTGCCTGTAAAGAGAGAAAAAAAAAAAACAAGTAGAGAGCAGAATGCTTAGCTTTTGGGTAGACGAAGTTGATGCACCAATTATCTGTTGTGAGTCAATTCAGTGTGTTCATGTTATCCATGCACTTTGATGAAATTGTCTTTTCCCTTGTACTCTGTTGGGCTTATTCCATTTAAGATCTAACAAGAATCATCCTCAAACCAATTTTGCAAGTTAATAACTTTCAATCTTATCTCCATAACTTTATCAACAGCATATTTATCAAAGGGCTCTTCCAAAATCTTAGCGAGTTTCTCAACATTTGCCTTGGGCTGCTGTTGCTGATCCTCAAATAGATTCTGTTTTATTTGCCTTTCCTCCTGTCAACTCAACATACGTGGATAACTTGAACTAAATTAACCATTACCAACTATAGCCTATCTACTGCTCATTGAAACATGACAACAATGTTATGTCACAAGACATTATGACCAAGAAATTTCTGAGTTGTATACATGATTTTTATTATGATGAAATGGGAAAGTGTTTAAACGCAAAGGTGGAGAGTTACATTATATTTTTTTATTAATTTTGGGTGACTTAATTCCCATATATGTAAATAGAAAATATAGTATATATTTAATTAAAGCAAAGGACAACAATAATTGTACATAAAACATAGTAAAATTGGACAGCTCAAAGTGTAAATATCCTATCTTGTTCCCCATATAAATACTAACCTTCTCCTTCCCAATCAATTGCAATTCCCATCACTGTCTTTTCTTTTCTGTGAAAGTTTCTGGACATTATGGGGAAGAAAAGCTTAGGCCGTCAGAAGGTCGAGATGGTGAAGATGAAGAACAATAGCAATCTCCAAGTGACCTTCTCGAAACGAAGGTCGGGTCTTTTCAAAAAGGCCAGTGAACTTTGTACTCTGTGTGGTGTTGAGATTGGCATCATCGTCTTCTCACCGGGGAACAAAGTTTTCTCCTTTGGTCACCCGGAGATCGGCAACGTTATTGGTCGGTACATCAACGGCAACCCTCAGGATAATTCGGGCACTTTGCATATCATGGAGGCTCATCGTAACGCTCATGTTCGTGAGCTCAACATGCAACTTACAGAGGTTTGATTCTAATCCGAAACTATTTTTATTTTATTTGTTTTGTTTGATTAATAGTCGATTTTTTTTGTTTCAGATGACGAGCCAAATCGAAGTCGAGAAAAGGCGCCGTGAAGAGCTGAACCACATGAGAAGAGCGAGCCAAGGGCAGTACTGGTGGGAGGCGCCGATCGAGGAACTTAGCCTGCCGCAACTCCAGCAGCTGAAATCGGCGTTGGAGGAGTTGAAAAAGAACGTAGCAAAGCAAGTGGAAAAGCTTGTGATTCAGACTACCAACTCCCAGCAGTACTTCATGGGGAGTTCGAGCGCCGCCGGGGTGTTTCCCGATAACATCGAATTCGACGTGAACATGATGCCTCAGGGATACAGTCCTCCTCCTCCCAATATGATACCTCCTGGATTCAATTTCAACCCCAATCCTGAAGGATACAATCCTTCTCTTCCTGGATTTGGACATTCATTCTTTTAAGTAATTAAGTAATTTTCTTTTGGAATAAACAAGGAATTCAGTCACATTGTGTTTGGTTTTATGTATGTATTTTGGCCTTCCTGTTGCTTCATCACGTCTGTATTTAATTGGGTTTTCAACTTCTTAGGATAATAACAGATTGTCTAATGTTTTTTTAAACTCCCATCGTCACTTTCGTTCAAATTCAGGGTTTATATTTTTTGTCATTTCTAAAGTTCGAATCTTCGTTTATAACTAGAATCAAAATATGTTTAAACATAAATTTGGATACAATCGACCTGAACCAAAATAAAATCTAAACGAACTCGGGAAAAATAATGAAAGGCGTTTTTAATTTCTCTTATATGTTTCTTTGATGATACATTGTATCACAAATTTTATCCAAAAAGGGTATGAAATGATATTGCAAGCAAGGTGGACCTTTGTTGTTTGGTGACAGGAATCATTTGAGACAACAACGTTGTCTAAACTGTCCGTAGATGTTGTGGATATTCATAATGATGAACTTGCCTTAAATGCTACTAATTTCATCATGTGGTTGAGGTTCATCAATCACGAATCAATGTAATAAGATTTTGCAGTTTAGGGGAATTAATCCTTTACAGCAATGCTCTTTTTATGATCTTTCGAAGATCAAACGCATAGTTGCATTGTAATTCTGCTTAAATATTTAAGATTTTGGTAACCTACAAAATCATGGATTAATCATACAAAGTGAATTTAATTAGTACAATAAAGATAGCTTAGCACAAATTAACGTGATTAATAACATATATTGGAAACAACTCTATGAACATCGTTTCGTGTTTCCTTTCCACATGCATATTCTAAAACCAATATTTTGCTACCAAATTTTCAATTATTTACATAGCTAAAGGATCACAATCAAACATTAAATAAATAAATAAATAAATAAAACTCATCGTGACTTCAATGGTTAAAGGGAGTATTGTTCTCCTTAGAAGTTATGGGTTTGAGCAGTTGCGTTTGCAGGAATGTGTGTGTTGCCAATAACTAAGAAATATTACAACTTTATAATCACCTTAGACTATTTCAAAGAAAATATTAAAAATTTATAGAGGGAGAGATGCAACCAACAACTCTCTTAATCTCTACATAAGTCCATCTCTGATAGGTTTAATAAAAAAAATATGTGCTTAAATTATTTCTTTTAAGTGTTTATAATTTTCTTTTTGTCAAACTAAGTTTCTAACGTTTCATTTTGTAACCGTTTTCAAGTCGTCTATTAAAAAATTGTTATCCTCTATTGATAAGTTGTCCAAATTCTATAATTTCTTCCCAAAACTCATCGTCATTATACGTTATTAATTAGCTAAATTTTAAGGTTTCCTTTTTATTAAGCAAATATGTTAAGCTTAGCCGTTCACTGAAATAATAATAATATATATATATATATATATACACACACACATAAACTGAATCTCAGTGGTTTGACCCTCACCTGGCTCCACGTACTTGTCCCTTCCGTCTCTGCAGTAACCCAGCTAATACTACAACCTGTTTTCTCATTCTCTTCAACTTTCCTGTTTGCTTTGAAGAAGAAACAAGCTCCAAAAAATGGATCCCAGCCCTTTTGTAAGGATCCTGGTGGGAAATTTGGCTCTGAAATTTCCACCATCAACAAACACCTCACTCTCAAGAGTTCACCCTTCCACTTGTCCATACTTTTGCAAGATTAAACTCATTAACTTCCCTAACCAAGTGGTTATAATCCCGTTTATAGTATCACAATAAGACGACAACAACTCTTCTCCTGATTCTCAGAAATCGCTGGACTCTTGTTTTAGTCTTGACAAGTCTCAGATCGATAGAATCTTGAGGGGTTCTTCGTGCAAAGTTTCTGTCAAGGTTTATTATGGTTCTAATGGGAGCACTTGTGCATTGGCTTATAACAAGTTGTTGGAGAAGGTCACGATACCATTGGATCTACGTGGAGCTGAATCAAGACCGTGTGTGGTTCACAATGGATGGACTGCCATAGGCCGAAATAGAAGCAGCAAGAATGGATCATCTCCACAGTGTGTTTAACTCTCAGAACCGAACCAGACCCGAGATTTGTGTTCCAATTCGGTGGCAAACCTGAGTGTAGTCCTCAGGTTTTCCGGGATCAAGGAAATCTTAAACAGGCTGTCTTCACTTGCAAGTTCGGTTTCAGAAACTCCAGCAACAGGAGCTTGGGGTAAGGTTACTCTTGGTTTGCTTATTAGTAAGATTCGAGAAAATCAAGTACTAGTTTTGACTTTGTATTGTGTTATTGTGCAGATCATCTTTGTCTGAATCAAAAACTTCGAGGAATTGGCTACTTCCTTTGAAATTTGATAAAGAGCAATCCTCCTAAGAATGAAAAGGAAGGTCGATTACAATCACAACCTCTCTGGTTCTCCCGTAGCAATGGAGAAAATGGTGACACCATTCGTGCCATCTCCTGGTTCGGACAAGGTCACCCTATCCAACCTAGGTGCATGGCTAATTCTGAGTCCAGGTTGTGGAACATGGAAGTCTTGGGGTCGGCTCAAATCCTGGTGTGAGTCTGGTTTCACCGACGTTCTGGGATACCAATTTGATTTCTTCCATGATGATATCGCCGCCACAAATGCAACCACCGCCGTTGCCACTTCCACCATCAACACCAAACATGGAGGGAAATTCACCATGGACACGACAACCAACGATGCTATATGTTGTGATTAATAGTGGCGTTTTTTCCACAAATGTCACAATTATCTTGTCTTTAGTGGTGTTTTTTCCCCACAAACGCCACTAATTCCTTTGTCTTTAGATGCAATTTTTGCCACAAATGCAGCTAGTTCTATTGTTTTTAGTGGCATTTGTAATAGAAAGCGCCACTATATATTATGATTTGTAGTGACATTTTTACCACAAACATCGCTATCTTAATCCTTAAACTTCCATTAATGCTAATATAATATTATTTTACTGATGAGTTTAAATATTGGGTCTGATGATATTATTTACAGAGCTGGTGGCAGCTGTTATTTTGCAGTAACCAGAAGCCTAGTTCTCACAAGCAACATTCTTTTTGGAGCTAGAGAATATGAAAGTAAGTAATTTATTAAAGAAAACAATTTATCATCATTCATTGTACATGATATCTTTAAAGAATATTAAGTTCAAAGCTAACAAATTAAACTTTCATAACTTTAAAGAATATCTTTGCACTCCTTGGAGCCCCAAAAGCTTTAAGCAACCTGAAGTATACGAGAGAAGATTGTTCAGTACATGATAGGGTATCAAGTGGAGCACATAACATTGCATAACTTGGAACTAGCTCTTACCAAGTTCAAAGATTGGTGGAGCAAATTTCAAAGCTTGAAATGCCACCTGATATTAAATAATGAAAAATTAAAATATTAAGAGCAAACATAACTTGGTAAAGAAGATGACAAAGACATCCAATTCCAGTAAGATTTTGTGTACCTTGCACAAAGAGCAAACGTAACAATAGGTGTAGATTAAAAGGAAAAGAGAATTGACAAATAGCAGCTGCTTCTTCAGCAGCACCTAAAATAATCAGACACAAAAGAATATAAATATGAATGAATATATGAGAACAAGCACTAAATGATACTAGAATAGGAACACATGAAAAATGAAATATTACGTGAAACAAAATCAAGCAAAACTAAAACAATCTGCTGAGACACTTAAGTGGCAATTCATAATACATGAAAATTTTCAATCCGGCAATCAACAAATTTCCACTTTGTCATCGTAACCTTTTTATTTCAAACCAAACAATCCATATAGATAACCAAAACAAGAGTTGCCCAGACCATGTTGGATTGATGTAGAAGAAGCTTACAAATTTGATGATCAATCTCACGCTGCTTTGTTTCATGGTACTTAATCTGCAAAGAAAAAGAGCAAGAAAGTCAATTTAGATATGTCAAAACTACTCTCGCACAAATCACACATGTAATTTTTTTTAAATGTCACTCAGAAGTAATCAGACAAAAGAGTACCTTGAATCATTGATTTAACCAGAGAATGTTCCATAATCTTGGAATGTTATAATGTTGAACTTTTTATTTCCCATGATCACTTATACTCTAAAACCTTTTAGCATCTAAACTAACTCCTTTTTACACAAATTGAGCATGAAAAAAAGGATTTAAAAGGAAATCACAGCAGTCAGAAGTACTCGAATATGGAGTTTGAACTAATAATTTAACTTGAGAATGTCTGTTAATCTTTACTTGGCATGCTATAATGCTGTACATTTTCATTTTCCATTATCACTTATCCCTTGAAACCTTTACCATCTAAACTAAATCCTCACCACACAAATGAACAAGTAAAAAATAATTTTTTTTCAAAAAAAAAAAAAGATCACTGCAGTCAAAAGTAATAAGATTTAAGACTATTTTTGAAATAATAATAATTTAACTTGAGAAAGGAACAACACCCTTTTATTTTCCATGACCATTTAACTTGAGAAGGTTATGCTTATATCATAAAAATCTAATTCAATACCAAAGAGTCAAAATGGAAAATCAAATAAAATGGAAAAACACCTTGGAAGATTAAATAGAGTCTCCGTAAATACTTTCTCCACCTAAAAACAAAAAACTCAAATTCATAACTAAAGTTTCGACTAACCCTAACCCTAACTAATTTAAAACGACTAGAGCAAACAAAATTCGCTGAATAACAAGGGGGATTACAAGCGTCGGAATCGGTGGGGTCACCTCCTTGGACGAGGAACCCTAACTAAGTAGGAAAGTTAAGAAAATAGGTAGAAAAGTTATGGATTTGGAACCAGGTAGGTTAAAAGACTAAACAGTTGCGGAAAAAACGCCACTAATGCACGTTATAATTACGACGTTTATTACACAAACGCCACTACATCACATCATATTTGTGGTGGAATTTGTCTAAAAACGCTACTAAAGTATTAGGTTTTAGCGGTGTTTGTCTAAAAACGCCACGATATATGTACCCTATTGCGACGATTGTTTAAAAACGCCACTAAAGAACAATTCTGTTGCGATATTTGTTTAGAAACACAACTAAAGTAAGATTTTGTGTCGGCGTTTGTTTAAAAACGCTACTAAAATACTTATCTGTAGTGGCGTTTGTAAAATAAATGCTACTAAAGTACTTATTTGTACCGCTGTTTATTGAAAACGCCATTAATATTATTACTTTATGGTGTTTTGGATATAAACGCCTCAATATATATAAATTTAATGACATTTTTTCAAAAAAAGAGCCACGAAAAATATCACTATATACTTGTTTTTAGGGGTGTTCAAATAATCGAACTAATTCGGTTAACCGATCGAACCGAATTAGTTTGGTTAATTCGGTTCGGTTACCGAATTAGTTCGGTCGGTTAACGGTTAAAAAAAATTTTAGAATTCGGTTAACGGTTAATTCGGTTTGAATTTGGTTAATTAACCGAAATTAAATTTTAAATATTAAATATATTATATATAACATATGGGCTCAGCCCAAACCATTTAAAACCCAATTAATAATTTAAGATCCAATAACTTTTAAATCTAAATCAATATTAATTAATTAAAAAATTATATAAATTTTTTATTTTATAATTATATATTATTTAAATTAATTGTAAACTGTTTTTTTAATTAAAAAATATTAAATATATTATATATAACATTTGGGTTAAGCCCAAACAATTTAAAACTCAATTAATAATTTAAGATCCAATAACTTTTAAATCTAAATCAATATTAATTAATTAAAAAATTTATCTGAAATTTTTATTTTATAATTATATATTATTTAAATTAATTATAAACTTTTTTTGAATTAAAAACATTTAATTTTTATATAAATTAGAAAATTAAAAAAATCGGTTAATTCGAAAATTAACCAAAATTTATTCGGTTCGGTTAATATGTTCGAAAAAAAGTTCGGTTCAATTAACGGTTAAAGAAAAAAAAAATTGATTAATTCGATTAAGGGTAATTCGATTCGGTCAACCACCGTTTTAACCGAATGAACACCCCTACTTGTTTTGTTGTAGTGATTGCCAGAACGTGAATCTTGCTTTCCGTGACAAATATACCCATCGAATATATATATTATTGAAACACGCGGATTTTTGATGTCGTAAATTAGTTTGAATTTGCTTTGATTTTCTTTTATTTTAGAAAATGAAATGATTACATTAATATTTGTATATTTAAAATTGAACTGTGTAATGGGCCTAAGTGTCCCTATAAACAAGGACCTTTGGACGACATAAAAGAGGCCCGAAAGCCTTCGGTTTACATCCAAATGAATTCAACGATGACCAAAATAAAATAGTGATTCCAAACTAAGTTGATGATATTTATTTACACAGATGGAATTTAATTTTATTTTTGCATGGTCTTAAGTAAATAATATATTATGAAATCAATAATATAAAAGATAATTATAATCAATCTCTCGTACAAGTATACAAATATTACTATTTAACTAAATATTTACCCACGGAAGCATTAAATAAAAAATAAATTATACAAGTCTAATTTAAATCAAACAAGTTCTTGTCCTACGCTTATTGGCACACTTGCAAGTGTTTTGTAGCTTTTGAGAAAGTCAGGGTTTTGTTTGTTTCAAAGAAAGTCTTAAAGGCTAAAACTATTGTGCAGTTTTTATTTATTTATTTATGACTCCAAATGAGTTTTATTTTCTATTTTCTTTCTTGTAGTATAGAGAGGGGACGATTCAATTCTAAGTCAAAGCATGCCATGATTTTATTTAAACATTATGATTTGAATTTAATTTGATTCGTTTCTCTCCGATGCATCAACTCATACTTATAATCAATCTATAAATGTATCAGTCGTTTTTTTATATAGAAATTATAATTCGAATTTCGTTTAATTTAATTTAATAATAAATAATTTTGTAGAATTAACCGACACCGTTGATGTATTTAATGATTATCCTTTAGGCGTTTGAAGAGAAACATAGGATCTATCTTCAATGGTCCAACCTGACCCGACCCGACCCGACCCTTACTCTAAAAGTATGATTGAGACGATAAAAAGTATATTATTGAGGCTAGGAAAAGCGAGGAGTCGCATTAATGCATGTGGGAGGAGAGGCCAACCCAAATGCTGACATCTAACCTAATTCATGTTATTTGTTTGAGACACCATCATCTGTTCTTGATAAACATCCGTTAATCGCAATTGTCAATGCCCATATATATATATATATATATATTATATCCATCCAAAGCATAAATTTTGTTACGTACCACATCACAAAACCTATACAACCTTTGTCGTCTCAACACTAACTTTCACATCGTTACTTGTCCCGCATATATTTGTATGTCTTTCTTCAACTTTG